CCCCCACCAAACCGACCTCCGCGACCTCCACCACCACTTTCGTCCCTTGGCCTAGCTTCTACCACTTTCAAGGTGCTGCCTCCTAAAGAGGACCAGTTGAGTTCCAGGGCTTTGGTCATCGCATCATTGTCAGTAAACTCAATGTATCCGAGCCCTTTAACAGATCCATCGGGGTTGGTTGGAAGTCTCGTGCATATGATTTTTCCACAACCACCAAAATGATCATCGAGAGCACTCCTTAGCTGATCTTCTTCATCATTTGTGTCAAAGCCCGTGACAAATATAGTTGTACCTTCACCACTACTTTGTTTCTGGAAAGAATTTCCACGTTTCCCACTGTGGTAATCACTTTTGGGAGTAAAAGCACCTCTCTCTCATGCTAGGTCGAGTCTCACATCGCGGCCCAACCATTGTTGACCATTTAGTTCCAGAGCCTTGGTAGCAGCCTCACAAGTGGTAAACTCAACATGCCCATAACCCTTGAAAGTCCCATCATCGGAGGAAGCAAAACAAACTTCTTTTATCTCTCCAACATCTTTAAAGAAATCTTCAACATGAGCATTTTGAATTGACCATGACAAATTTCCAATGAAGATAGGTTTTGATTCCTGCTCTGGTGCGTTGAGGGTGGCTGGTGTCTTAGGAGCTCTCTTTTCACTCTGAGTCATACTAGTTGCATCAACCATTTTAACATCCTTAGCCTTCTTTGGAGTCTTTGAAGGCTCTTCTTCTTCCTCCTCACTGAACTCAGAAGATGCATGAGTCTTCAGAACTACTCTTCTTAATGGTCTTCTTTTGTGGCTCCTTATCTTCACTATCTTCTGAACGGGTTTCTTCACTTTCATCATTAGCTTTCATTTTAATATCAGTTCCATTTGATTTTTTCTTGGATGGAGCAACGGCTGCACTACCATCCTCATCGGAGCTACTATCATCTGAACGAAATATTTGCACTAAATAGTATTAAAACTTAAGTCATTTCTCTAAATAGCACTTAAATTGTTTTATTCCCTAAATAGAACTTAATAATGTCCATAATGACTAGTGATGGCGAACATTTATTTGAATAATGACTAATGGATAATGACTAAAAGTGCTACATTCGGAAAAAAACACATGTAGTGTTATTTAGAGAAAGTCATTATGTTTTAGTGCTATTTATGTAAATTCCTTGAACGAAATATTTCCTCTCATCTGAACTGCTTTCAACTTTTTTCTCAAGAACAGGACTTCTTTTGGGCAGGGGCATCATCATCATCCTCCGAACTACTTTCATCTGAACTGCTTTCAACTTTTTTTACAGGGACAGATGTCTTAGGAGGAGCCTTTGTCTTGGCAGGGGTGTCATCCTCATCATCGGAACTGCTTTCATCTGAACTGCTTTAAACTTTTTTTGCAGGGGCAGAAGACTTATGAGGAGCCTTTGTCTTGGCAGGGATGTCATCCTCCTCATCAGAACTACTTTCCTCGGAACTACTTTCATCGGAACTGCTTTCAACTTTTTTGGCAGGCGTAGATGCCTTGGGAAGAGCCTTCTTAGCAGGGTCTCATCATCCGGTTTGCATGGAGATTTGCTTTCCTTGGGTAATTGGAGTTTTACAGTGATACGAAGGTCATTAAGTTTGGGGAAATTGGTTTCCGCTAAACAAATGCATTGAATTGAAAAGAGTTTGTCGGCCATGACAAGGAGTTCAATGTCTGGTAGGGTAAGCGAGGATGACCAAAATGACTTCGCAAGTGAGCCGCCACCGGATCTTAATAGAAGAATGTTGGTGAGGTTGAGGATTGGAACTGTAATTTATTTTGGTTGCGTTTTATACTTGAAATTGGAGTTACATGGATTTTTGGCTGGTACATTGAGGATGCAGCATGCAATGTGTTTTAGTCATTTTTTATTTGTGTTGCTAAGGTTTTGAGAGATGAGGCCATTCTAGGGTTGGATATTTCTATTTTTTTTCGTGGAAATAGTGTTTGCTTAATGTCGTAAGGGAAGGGACTTAACTGACTGGAGATTTACGTAAGGATCATTTTGGTATTTTATAGGTCATTTTTTAGGACTTTGGGTTGTGTTAATGGGAAGTATTGATATGTCTGCGTAGCCAAGGTGTTTGCTTAATGTCTCCTGTGAAGATTTTGCAAGCGATTGAATTTGTTTTGTTGTGTTAGACAAATGGGATTAGTGTGAGGTCAGTTCCAGTAAGATATACACGGATAACAAAACCCATTCATGTGTATTCTTATGGTTGTATTATGTTTATGTCGTTAAGCAATGCATTCATAAGTGTTTGGAATGAATTTGTAAGAATGTATTGTTAAACACTTCGTCATTTTCAGTTGGGCATTTGATAATGACTTGGGTTAATGTGTTTGTTTTGTGAAGAAATATGAATTTGTTTTGTAGTTTTGTACTTCCTTCGTTCCTTAAAATCCTTCTTTCATATTTTTCATTTTCCTTAAAACACTTCTTTTTTCACTTTTTTTCCTAAACTACCCCTAAACCTAATTTTACCCAATCACTATGGGTGGGTTTGGTTTTGGTGGTTCAGTTTTCACCCAAAATCAAAGGCAAAACGGAAGGTAAATTGGCGGTTTGGTTCGGTTCAGTTTTGCATAAAAAATATGTAAACCGTTGGTTATTCGGTTCGATTTTATATGGTTTTTATTTTGGTTTTTTCGGTTTATAAAAGTAGAAATTTATAAGCACTAAAAATTGTAAAAACACTAACTCGATGAAAAAATAACAATATGTAGTGTTAGCTTTGGTTTTTTATTTGATTTTTACACAAAACACAAAAACTAAACGGGAGGTTATTGTTCCTTTTAGTTCAACTTTACATAAAAAATATGTGTTGAGTGCCCAACAAACATTTAGAAGATTTCAAATACTTCCAAAGACATCGTATGTAAAATCAATTACGAAGAATTTATATTTTTTGTATGATATTTTCATCTTCAGTATAACATCAAAGTATTTTTTATGTAAATTATGCGTATTAATTTTTAATCTTAATATAATTCTATATTAGGATTAGCTATTGGTGTTCATATATATTCTTAAGTTTTTTTTAAGTTTATAATAATATGGCTAGAATGTTTAATTAATAGATAAGAAAATAATTTTAATCGACTAGTAAATTATTTGCGTTTATATTTCTATGATTTTTCTACATATCACATACATTCATATAAATAAAGCGAAGTATCTAAGAAAGTTCGGTTTATTCGGTTCGGTTTTTCAAAGTGAAAACCAAAACGGAACCAAACACTAACGGTTCGGTTTGGTTTTTTACATTCGGATTTAGTTTTTTCGGTTCAGTTTTTTTCTAGGTCGTTTCGATCGATTTTGGTTCGGTTTGCGGTTTTCAGTTTTTCCAACCCAGTCCTACCAATCACCTCTCCCACCTTATCCATCCCATCGTGACAACCCCACCTTCTCATCTCGAAAGATCCGCCATTGGTTCCCTAGCGATTCTTCTTCTCTCCTTACCTTTCTTTTTTCACAATCGGATCAGCTTCATGGCTGCATCCTCTTCTCCAGATCCGAGCATGTCCTCATTTCGCTTGCTCTCTGATAGCGATGAGGACCAACCTAACCCTCATCGTACTCATAAATCTTTAGGCAAGCGCAAACGATCCATAGCTGCCTTGAAACATCATGTTGATCCGCTTCCATCAAGTTCATCTAACACTGATCCTTTGTGGAATTTCCGGAAAAATACCTAGGGGGTGAGCATGTGCCGAATGGACTTGAGTGGGGATCAGATCTGGAAGATTCATCATATCTTTAGTCTTCATTCAACACTGATGAGATTCGAGAAATGAGCTCGGAAACAGAGATGTTGTTGTCCGAGCGAGTAGGAAGTCCTTCCAAAATAGAAAGATATAAATAGAGTAATGTCCTTCAATCCTCTCTCCTTTACACCTTGCGCATATGTGTTGCATGTAGATTTTATGTGCGGTATTTGGGCAAACTAATGATGCAAACAAAGAATTATCTTAAAAGTCTATGAAAGTTGCCTAATTGTAACGCTACCCCATATTTGGTTTAGGGGCTTACAAAGCTCAATTACGGTAAGAAGTTTGGTCAAGCATTTGTGAATGTGTTTGTGGAATTGAACAAAAAATATATTTTAACACAAATATATAAAAAAGAACATATATACAATATGTAATTGAACAAAAAATATATTTTAACACAAATATATCAAAAAGAACATATATACAAAATATATTAAAATATACTCCGGAGTATATAAATTTTATCAATGATAGGAATGAAGGGAGTATTACTAAATTCTTTAATTAATTTTTGAATTATAACATCTATTTTACTCATAAATTTTTACATGTACGTTTAAACTTGTCAAATAGTACGTCGTTGGACTCGCCTTGTCGAGACCTTCAATATGAGTATAAATTTGACTATTTTTAGTACCTTATTTTTAGTACCGTCGTTACAAGTTTTAATTTTTTAAAACAAAATTAAAATTATATTTTATTATAAATTCATTATTAACTTTTAAAGTATATTTTATGGCGTTTTAACAGTTTCACAATCGGTTCGATTAATATGCTTACTCCTAGAATTGTATACTCTATACTACCTCCGTCCCGTGAAACATGGAACATTTGCTTTTTAGGAGGGATTTAAGGGAGTGTATTTTGGTATTGAATTTCTAAAAATGTCCTTTGATGTGATGGGTAAAAGTATGATTTGATGGATAGATTATTAGTAAAAAGGTATGATGTGATAGTTAGGATATGAAAAAGTAAGGGGTAAAAGTGACTTTTTAATAGAAATGAGAAGTGTTTTGTGGGACGGATAAAAAAAGAAAGGGGAAATATTTCACGGGACGGAGGTAGTATAATATTATACGGAGTAATAGATATCTTACTATATATAATGCTTGGATCTCTTTTTTCTACAGTGTTCCCGCCCATTTTTTGCTACGCGTGAGATTTGGACCGCACATTATAGAAAGCTTCCTGCTTACATATGTAAAGAGAGAAGGCAAAGAGGCTAGGGTTTGCCATGGACAACGGGCCGTCGAGCGGAAGAAGTGGGAGACGACATCGTTTGCTAGGTTTTCTACCAGCTCGATTCCGGCGGCTGTGAGGAGTGCCTTCGAACACATGCTGCAGCTACAGTGCCTCGATTGGTGTAGTAGATCTATCAAATTGCTGCTCCAACGCTCATTCCATTGGAAGTCGGAAGAGGCCTGCGATGAAGAAGAAGTCAAAGAGCTCAACGATGTGCGTTTTCATTTATGGAATTTTTTGGTAAATCTTCTTTTAACAACTTCAATTATGCCATCTTTTACATTTTGCAGCATCAAACATCACATCCAGTATAATAGATCTTAGATACCGTTTGGATGTGGCCAGGTACTCTAACTGTAAAAGCCAGATTCCTTCATCTTAATCCTCTAAAAGCATGAAAAATTTTAGTCTAAACTATGGGTAAGAGAATCTATATTTCAATATCCCATTTTCTTCATCTACGTGTCTACATAGTTGCTGTTACATATTTACTAAAGAATATGTCTAACTTTGTAGTTAAAAAAAGGAATTAGTTTGGAGGAGCAATGCTCAATATGTGTTTGATGAAATGCCTCAAGAAGATGTAGAGCCTAAGTAACATTTGAACAGTTTTCTGGCCATTTGAATTCATTTTGTAGAATTTTTTAGGCTAATGCCTATATTGTAGCATATAAAAGGGTTCAATCATTTTAGCTAATTAGTTGTGTTTAGCCAAAAAGCTGCGGAAGGAACAATTTAGTTGGCTGAATGGTTTGCTCAAGTGATATTAGTTGTAGCATTTTAGTTTCGCTTTCTTTTTCTCCTAATTTTATGATACGAATTTGGTTTTGTTCTGATTCAAAGGCAACCAGCTCCCTCATATAGAATAACATACTTCGTCCCTCAATTTCTGTGATTTCTTTGTAGGTTGCAAGTTGCTTCTATGTAACCTCCACAAGCCTACTCGACAGGTTTTGTGTAATTCTATCACTCTTATGTTGTTGCAGTGTTCCCACCCAAATATAATGGGCCAGGTCACTGCCAAATGGGTTGGGTAAAAACAAGGGCACAAAGAGGATAGCCGGGTGGGGGTCTTGCTCTAGAAGTCTATATGAGCACGGCTATAGGGTGATTTTTGCAGCAAAACATATGTTAATTTAATTGATTTACTGTGAAGGTAATGTTTTTTTCTTCTTTTTTTTCATATATCTATACTCTGTATTTACCACACAATTTTAGGCTTTTGACCATTTGGGTTTCCAGATTTAAAACCCTTGGCATGCAGAAGGTGGAAGGCCACCATGGTGAGGATGGTGGTGGGTTTGGCTAGGTTTTTGACCCTTAGCCCGACAAAGGGATTCTGTCAACAATTACATTGGAGGTTGAAACAGCTAGGCAAGGTAGTTGCATTGTATAATCTTGCTTCCCTATAAATATTCATTTCTAATTCAATGGCATTGATACAAATATTTCTAAACTTGATGTATTTGTCTTCAGTTTTTTATTTTGTTTTTATCTTTGCTTTGCATATTTGACTTGATGACCTGATGATGTTTCACTGAAATTTCAGCATGAACCTTATGTTGTGAATGGGTCAATAGCTAGGGGTAACATCCTTTTCTTCTTTCATTTAAATGTTTTTCTATATATTTGGTTCTAAGGGGAGAAGGTTAGCTCTTGAGTTTGAAACGGCTAAAACAACAAAATATAATTGGATTTCACTGGGTCGAGCCAAGGGTTTCAAAAGTAGCCAGGACGACAACAATTGGATTTCACTGGGGTGAAGAAGATCAGGTTCTTACACAACTTTAATTTCAAATTCAGTTTAATTTTCATCCAAAACATGGATTCAGACCAGTTTATGGACTCCGTTCCTAGGCAGAGGTTGATAGAGTTGGACATAGGCAGTAATCTACGGTCCATATATCTTTCTTTGTTCATATTTATTTTATATTTTTAATTTTAGCTGAAACCTCAAAATGAATTTGCTGAATGCTGATGCATCTTGACCGAATCTTTAGTAATGTTCTCTTCTCTTTTGTATTAGCTTTTTTTGATTTATAGGTTTGTTTAGAAATTATGCACTATGATTTTTAAAATGCGCATATGATGGTTATCAATAGGGTATGTGGCTACATTGAGTTATTACATTTTGAGTTTCATTATGATTATTGTATCTTTAATGAGATAGTATAGGCAAAGCTGAATTCAACACTCAAGATTATTTTGACTTTTTATGAGATTGTAGGGATGAGGTTGAGATGAATACTTCAATTGATTCATCAGTTTGTGTGTTGAGGCATATGGAAGCACTATGTGATATTCATGTTGAGGTAGAGTTTACCATATAATTTATTGGTTTGTATTAATTTTTCATTCTTAATATAGTGAATACTCACTCATATTCCTTTACCTTTGTATTAAATATATCTCTATTAACTTTTTTTAGGAAGGTTTGAATGTCAATGCCTGAGCTCACTGCCTCTCCTTCCCTTGAAAAAATTCACAAAAACTTTCTGGTGCAATCCAAGAAAAATAGGAAGAGGCTTGGGTCTTTTTAATTACAATCTTTTTGATAGCTTTCCCTTTTGTTGAAATGAGTTGATTTCAGTTTTATTTAGAAACTTATTTAAAAATATTCTCTATTTTATGTGCACCATGTGGTAATATCTTTAACCATGTAATGATTGTCAATTGGGGGAATACAATAGTCATAAATTTATTCTTTGCTTCTATTGTGATAATTAATAATTTGAAGTTCACACACTCAGTGTTTAGCTACTTAATTTTCAGATGATGCAGTAGCCAAACTGAAGTCTCTTTGGACGTGAAGAGAATGATGGCTCAATATAAAAAAGGTAAGGATTTAATCTACTCTTTATGTGGTTTTTTTTTACAATTGAGAATCATCATACCAAATCTTTCATTTTTTTTATTTTTCAACGAGGATATGGCTTTGTTTTTAAACTAATGGCCCCTATGTAAGGAAAAAAAAGTTGATTTTATGGTTTTGAATAAAACCATTTTGATTAAATTGATAAGAGAGTATTCTTGCATTAAGTTCCATCCATTTTCCATCTCTTAACATATACGGAATACAAAGAAAATATATACTCCCTCTGTTTGGAAAAATCCTTCCCATTTGATTTGGGGGCAAAAATAAAGAAGTGTTAAATTATAGTTAATTTCCAATTTTGTCTCTGATGTGATGAGTAAAAGTAAGATGTGATAGATAAATTATTAGGAAAAAATATGATGGGATAGGTAAGGTATGAAAAAATAAGGGTAAAAGTGGTTTTTTAATAGAAAGGCAAGTGTTTTGTTGGAAGTGAAAAAAATGAAAGAAGAAGTGTTTTTGAGAACGGAGGGAGTATATATTATAAAATCTCTTATTGTTTGCAGTTAGTTGATCGATCTTCTAAAGGAATTTAAATGTAAGCATGTCATCTCTGCAAGTCAAATAAAAAGTTACATTGGAGTATTTCATTAGCTACATATCAAACTAGAAAGTGTTAATGAAGGAGATATAACATGTGAAGCTAATGTCTTCATTTTTTAAAATTAGTTGTTTAATAAATGATACATTTTATTTTTTCTTCATTTAGTTTCGCAGGCAAATTAGAAAAACAAATAGTATCATTGTATATGTTACTTTTGTCCCATAAAAAGGTTTTACTTTATTTTGTCCCAAAAGAAAGATTTTACTTTGTGCTTTTGAAAAAAACTGTGGTCCTTATAGTTTTCTCATTTGCACCATTTTTAATCATAAAATGCTATTTTTCTTAATTTTAGGATGTGGCTTCCCTTTAATGGTGAACAATGAACATTACAAACTATTAGGGCTTGGCTTACAAAGAGGAAGTACCTTATCAGTGATGAACTAGAGCTTTTGTTGCCAATGACTTATCATGCTAGCACATTAAATTAACTCATGAATTCGTTCTATCAAAACATTTCTTTGAATTTACACCCCTCTTAATGTACGAGGAGCACAAAGTTTTTGATATAAGAAGTATTTATTTATTTATTTTTCTCTTTGTCACAGCAGGTTAATTTATCGTGAGCAGTCTTTACACAATGAGGTAAGGCCATTGTATGTTCTTGCGTAGTGTTATTTGTTGTTAAACTCTAAGAATGATATATTGTATTAAGATTACAAGTTTATGTAATACTATTAATCTTGATTTGCTTTTGATTTGAAATATATGCCATCTGAAGAGTTGCAGGTCCAATATTACTGTAGTACCTAGGTATTTTGTTTCTTGCTTTTTGAAATCTTAAAGTTAGGGTGATGAAAAACTTTACAAGCATATTGTTAAAAGTTGTTTTCAACTTATCCATGATTTAGTATCACATTTGAGATTGATTGTGAATGGTTTGGTAACGTTTGAAGGGTGGTTTGGTTATTCTTTTGTTGTGTGGCAAAACATTCATTCAAGACCAAATAATCATCTTTGAGTATGTAATTCCCTTCTTCTTTCTCAATTTAAAATTTGCATTATATGCATGTTTCCATCTTTTTTTTTTTACAATCTTCAAAAGAAACTTATATTTTTTTTCAAGCATTTTGGATTAGTGGAATAATAATTATTACTAACTGAAAATTAAATTTCCTTGAGGTGAGGTTTTATGTGTTTTCAAGGTCTAAGATTATCTATATATGTTTGTTGAAGTTTTAAATTGTAGTTTGGAAATGCCTAATAAAAAATTTAATACTCCGTGTGTTGGATTCTTTTTAGGCGAGGAAGAGAGATGGGTTTGATCCATTTTCAAAGTTGATAATGGTGAAGTCGGACGACTGATAACAATAGAGATTTGTATCCTGAGAATAGAGTATCGGGATAGGATCGAAATGATAACTCTGTCTATATTTAATTCCTGCTATAAAAAAACTACAGACGATGAGATAACTACATTTTCTTCTTTTTATTTTAAGTTATTTATATTTAAATAATGTTTATAAGATTTTTGGTACCTGGGAATTAGTGAGGTAAAAACTATTAATTTTATAAACAGAGCATTAGAGCACATCTGGGTTATCTCATGATATTATTTCTCAATGCCATGGTAACTGGTCTTTATTACGGAGTATTATTGGTGTTAACTTAAATTATTATTAACTTCTTATCTATCATATAAATTCTTTTTTTGATTTCTCACCCATTCACTTTATTTGAATCCAATTTATTTATATCATACAGAGTAAAATTTATTCATTGTTTCGTTAAAATAATAGTTAAATATTCATACTGTGCAACGCACGGAAAGTGTTAAAGATTTTGATTTGCATTTAAGACCTTTATGTAGTCAAATTACGAATGTAGTTTATAAAGAAGTGTTTCAAAACATATAACACTTCTTGAACTCTCCTTTTTTTTTCTACTCTTTCAATTTATATAATCTTTTAGTTTTTTGTAACTTTTTTCCTTAATAAAAATATTGAGTTTTACCTCAAAAAAAATATTGAGTAATTATATGTCAAATAATAGCCCGTGCATCGCACGGGTTCGAGTCTAATTATTATTTAATCATATGTAACATCAAATAATATAATATGATTTAATCGTAAAGCTATTGCGGAGTATTATTTTATTAAAGATAAGATATTAACATTATTTTTCACAATTTTCTGAATTGACATGATCTCATTCGAATGAATTTGATATGATTAAATCTGATATAATTCGATGTGAATGGATATCAATAGAAACTAAAAATAAGTTAATATAAACTTGCCAAAATAGAAGGAAAATATAGAGAATATATTAAAATAAAAATGTGATGTTTTTATTTTTTAAAACAAAAGTTTGCATTTTGACAATGTGATACTGTATATTGATATTTCACATATTATTTGATATTATAGATTAATACTATTGACTTTTTAAATGTATTTTAAAAGTAAAAATATTTTTTATTTTAATACATTGTCTATATTTTAGGGTAAATTATATGATGGACCGTGGACCTACATATGAGTAAAATAAACATTTGTTTACTATTTAAATAAAAATTTCTTAAAAAAATCAAAAATATTAAAAAAATTATATAAAAAGATCCACACAAATAATATGCACTCAATATAGGATTAAAAAATACTCTTATTTTAGTTCTAGTTGAGTGGGAACAACTCTCTTTTTATCTTTCTATTTTGTTCTTCCTCTATATTTACTCTGTTGTGTTCCCCTCTATGATTTTCAGTGAAGTAGAGCCAGCAATCACACTTCTCAAGTTCTCATACATCTCTATCCCATGGCAGAGGATGCGGTGTTCCAGCCGAAGAGCCGCCCGGCCGCCGGGACAGAGCGAAGCTGGTGCAAGGCGGTGCCCGGTGGCACGGGGATTACGGTCTTGGCCCTCCTCCTCTCCAAGCCCGTCGACATCCTGCTTCTCCAAAATTCCCTCCGCAAATTGCAAGTGTCCCACCCAATCCTCAACTCCCAGCTCCGGTACAAATCCGGCGCCGGCAACTCCTTCTCTTACGTCACTCCCCCCGCCCCTCGCATAACGATCGAGCCGTTCGACCGCAATTCGACGGCCGAGATCCTCCGCGACCTCCACGACTCGTCAATTTCCCAATTCCACCTCATGCTCGAGCACGAATTGAACCGCAACGCGTGGCTGGATCCCGAAACAGACGCCGACACTTTCTTCGCGAGCTTGTACGAGCTGGACGGCGGCCGGCGCGTCCTGGCCCTCCGATTTCACACGTCTGTGTGCGATCGGTCCACGGCGGCCGCAATTCTGCCGGATCTCTTGCATCTCCTCGCCGGAGAAGGGGAATGCGACGGAGAACGAGAGGTAGGGTTTGGAATAGAGGATTGTATCCCTAAAGGGAAGGCGAAAAAGGCGTTCTGGGCGAGGGGGCTGGACATGCTCGGCTACTCTCTCAACTCTTTCAGGCTGTCCAATATAGCTTTCCAGGACACCCATTCGCCCAGATCCTCCCGGGTGGCGAGGATGAAGCTCGGGAAGCAGGAAACGGGTCGGGTTCTAGACGGGTGCAAAACCAGAGGTGTGAAATTGTGTGGGGTTCTAGCTGCGGCCGGGTTGATTGCTGCCCGTTCTTCCAAACACGTCTCAGAATCCCATTCAGAAAAGTACTGTGTTGTCACTCTGATTGACTGCCGTTCCCTTCTCGATCCCCAGCTCAACAGCAACCACGCCGGTTAGTTCATATACATCGTTCTGCTTGTTTATGTTCATTATTGTCCCTTGGAAACAACCTTAGTATCTACACAAACCATTTTCAGAACCTACTTTGTTTTGTGGGATTTAACTCTCTACTTTAATCTGCTTGCAACAATCTCTTCAAGTCCTACTTTTTTTTGTGGGATTTACTGTTTTTTATATTCCAATATGAACCACAGGTAACCTGAAGTTGAAAAAGTCACTCTATTGTTTCAAAGCTGTTTCTTACAAGAACACTATTTGAGTGACAATATTTGCTACCACATCAATTCATCAACCTCTAGTATCTTAGAAAAATTTGCACTTTTGGAAAATTGTGCGCAATTCATAAATTTTTTGAATATCTGTATATCGGTCCATTTGTGCGAAGGGCTATGTGTTGTGAGCGTGCCTGAAAAAACAAAAAAAATGAATCGGTGTGAAGGACGTTACGAAATGCTGTGATAACATATCATATATTCTAGTAACTGATGTGTGAAACATGCCAGTGATTTCCAGTTAAAGGCTTGATTGTTGTGGTTTTAGCCATTGTCTATTTGTGTTCTGTCTATTAATGTCATGTTCTAGTGTTTCCTTTCCCGTCAACATGTGCAAAACTGTGCTAAAAAATCAGTGACTAAAATAACAAAGAATGGCATGTAGACCTCATGTGGTGCATGAATCAGATGTGCAATTAAAGGCTGCTAACTACTACTCCGTAGTAAAGAGCATGGACCCCGCTTGCATGTTCAATTGTTCATAACAGTTCCTTTTTCTATTGTTTTCTCTCCACTTGTGTCTCTAACCTTTATCCTATCTGTAAATGAGCATGTAGATGTGCAATAAATGTAGTGTTTGTTCATATGTACTTTCTTAATCTACTAAAAGCACAAAGAATCAATACCCCCATACCCCCAATGGGGTTCGAACCTTGAACTCCCATTTGGGAGAGCCATAATCCACAGTTATGCCCGTTGAACAGCATGGTCTTTAGAAGCAGAACCATTCTAATTGAACTATAGTTGTTGAAATTTATTGTATGGGTTTTCCTTAAAAGAGAGCATTGTGCGAATGTTACAGGGTTTTATCACTCAGCAGTCCTTAACACACACGACGTCAGAGGGAGAGAGGACATATGGGAGTTGTCAAAGAGAACATACACAGCATTCGCAAACGCCAAGGACAACGGCAAGCATTTCACAGACATAGCCGACATGAACTTCCTCATGGGGAAGGCCTTGGAGAATCCGGGCCTGACGCCCCATTCGTCCATGAGGACTTCCTTTATCTCCGTGTTTGAAGATCCCATTGTCAGCGATCACCAATCCACCGCCAGCCTCGTCGACCAAGTCGGGCTTGAGGATTTCATTTCCTGCTCTTCGGTCCACGGCATCGGACCATCCATTGCCGTATTCCACACCATCAGGGACGGGGAGTTGGACTGCGCTTTTGTGTATCCTTCTCCCTTGCACTCCAGACAACAAATGCAGGGATTGGTTGATGAGATGAAGAGAACTCTTGTTGAATGGTAAACCTTGTCAATATGGCAACTCTTACCAAAATGTACTGTTATATTTGTGGCGTTTTTATTGTGTTGTTGCTGCTACAATAGTTTAAAACAATAAACATTTTTATGGTTTTCCAAATTCAAAAGATAAGGTGGTTTGAGTAGTTCACCTAATTTCCTTCACCCTACCCAATAGCTGGAGGTTATGTAGCACTGAAACGAAGACCGGGGATGGAGACGAAACAAAGTGGACACGCTGACACGGCTATTTTGAAAAAATTAAGAGACGAAATGCCGGGAAAACGCCACACACACATATATATATTTACATACACACACACATACATATATACACACACTAGCATTTTAAACCGTGCAAGCTCTATTCCTTTAACTTTGAACTCTTGGGATGTTGGGAGAAAAATATTTTTACAAAAAAATTCCATCAAAATTTTTATACTTGATTACATAAGTTATACTCCCTCTGTCCCATTTTATAACGCTGTTTCGGTTTACGATGTTTGACTGAATTATTTTCAAATCATTTTATATGACAAATGGTATAGAGTTAAAAAATAAAAATTACATATCAAAATACTACATCAAAAGATCTACAAAACTAGTAGTGATAACAATATTTTATTTTATCAAATTGCTAACGAAAATAGAGAAAGAAAGTGAACAGGTATTATAATTTCTGGAAGAGTGTTGATAAAGACGTAGAGTGAGAAGATTATTTCTGGACGAATAAAAGTTGGGAAGATTATTTTCGGACGGAGGGAGTATTTTTTAATTTTATACCATTTTTCATATAAAATAATTTGAAAAAAATTTCAATCAAATATTATAAACCGAAACAGACACTATAAATTGGGACGGAGGAAGTAGTTAATAAAAATGCATATGCATAAAATTTATGCATAAATGTTTCTTTTTTGGGAACCAATAAATTAAAATTAATGGTAGATAGTTTTAAAAATTATATAAATGTTTTTAATCAGCACTCCGTAAAGTTTATACAACTTGTTAAAATAGTAACGTAATTATGCATATTTAAATGGTTTCATGGTAGAAAACAAATAATTTTATAAAGATTTGATAAAAATAATGTTTGATCACTTTGATGGGCCGAAACCTACAAGAAATGTATTTTGGGATATGCTAGGGGTACAACAAATGTGTACCCTAAATGTACACCACTTGCATCTACACCATTCATTTCATTTTCTTTTTATTTTTTACTTTTTTTGAAATTTTCTTGCCTTTTTTGTGTGGTGATGGAGGGGATTGGGGATGTTTGGGGTATACTTTTGGTGTACCCCTAGCATTTTCCATGTATTTTTAAGAGAGCTTGACTCCATTAAAAGCATTACAAGAGAGCTTTACATAAAACATGAAAAGAGAGCTTGACTCCATTGATGATGAGTATAAACTATACGAGGAAAGGAGGAAGATGATGGAGAGAGTAATTATTTAGTGTATATGCAAGTGTTTTTTTATGGAAAAATTACCCAAAATAATCCCAACTTTATCTGGTCTTTCAAAAATAATTCCATCTTTCACTGTAATGCATAATAATCCCAACATTACTGAAATTTGCGAGTTTTGGGACGCCGTTAAGTTTCTAACGGAGGGTTAATGGAAATGCCCGTTTTAGGCAACAAAATGAAAGTTGTGATTATTTGTGATGAATTTTTATTTTTTTATTTTTTTAAATTTTTCATTTAAATTTTTTAAATTACTTTCTACCCCCATCATCATTTCTTTTTCCTTTTTTAAAGATTAGTCTTAGTTTAAAAAATAAAAATAATAGATATAAAAAATGAAAAAATGAGAAATATAACTAAAATGATATAAAAATAATAAAATAAATAAGGTAATCAATGGAAACTAACTTGAAATTGATAAAAGTAAAATAAAAATATACGGGTGGGTTTTAATATTTTACGCATTATACAAAGTATTAACATATCACTTCTTATTTTTTAGAAATAATTATCTACAATAATTCCAACTTTACCAGACGGCTTGTTCTTTTAAAAAATAAGTGTACATTAAGACTCCGTATAGTGTGTAAAATGTTAAAACCCACCACTCCGTATATATTTATTTTATTTCTTGCCAGTTTCTGTTTAATTTCTATTGATTACATTATTTATTTGATTAATTTTGTATGGTTTTAGTTATTTTTCTCATTTTCATTATTTTTTATATCTTTTTTTTCTAAGGTAAGAATAATCTTAAAAAAAGAAAAAGAAATGATGATGGAGGTTGAAAGTAATTCAAAAAATTTAAATAAAAAATTTAAAAAAAATTAAAAAACAAAAATTCATCAAAAATAATCTCAACTTTCATTTTGTTGCCTAAAACAGGTATTTCCATTAACCCTCCGTTAGAAACTTAACGGCGACCCAAAACTTGCAAATTTCAATAAAGTTGGGATTATTATGCATTATAGTGAAAGGTAGGATTATTTTTGAAAGATCGAATAAAGTTAGGATAATTTTGAGTAATTTTTCTTTTTTTTATTTTCTTTCACATTGAGGGGTGTAAGGGGTATTACTCCGTATATAGGAGAGTAGGACTTTAGGAGACAAGTTTAGGGTTTTGGTGTGAGAGTGTGTGAATTGGGCCTTTGGCCCAACATTAGTATGATGTCTTCTGAATATGTTGATGAAGAAGTTTTAAAAAGTTTTGGTGTGAGAGTGTGATACTAAATCTTCAAAAAGTCAGGTAAAATAAGGTAACAATTAAATTTAAAGAATGATGTGTAAAAGGTTGAATAAATTGATTTCAGGTAGTAAATATTTTTTCAGATACTTTAACTAGATGAACAATTAAATTGACTAATTAATTTGACAAGTTAGAAATTTTGTCTCAACTACTCCTTTAATACGGAGTATAACATTATCTTTAGCCATTATTAATGTGCTAATATTGGTTGACTAAGTCATTTTTCACATTCAGAGACAAATGGAAAGAATAATTTGTTAAAGACTAATTAATAAACTGGGTGGATAAATTAATTAGAACATTACTATAATTATTAGAAACTTAGCATTTTAATTAATTAAATTTATTATTCAAATATTTTTACTTTTGTTACATACCAACCGCAATGGCTAGTGTTATACGGAGTATAATACTCCCCGCTCCTAAAAACCTTCTATTTTTATTTTTTGGTCAAGCAGTGACACATATTAACTATAGATTGTGACAGAAGTATATTCAATTATAACATAAATTCAATACAATTGAATTCATCTTTGAATATAGTTTTGATATATCAAATTCTTATGCTCCCTCCGGTCCTAAAAATCTTTCTTGTTTTAATTTTTTTTTGTCAAAAAGTGATACTATTTGACCATAAATTAAACATAATCTGAATAAATAAAGTATATATCAAAACTATATCCTAAGATGAACTCAATTATATTGAATTTATATTATAATTAAATATATTTTACTCATAATTTATTGTCAAAATGTGTCTCTGTTTGACCAAAAAATTAAAACAAAAAAAGGAGTTGAGGAAGTATCATTTATTTATTTAGATTATGTTCAATTTGCTGTTAAAGAGTAATACTATTTGACCCAAAAAAATCAAAAATGAAAGATTTTTAAAACCAGAGATGGTATACTACTATATTCTACATTTCTACTTCATTGGATTTGTAAAATGTATTGCCCATTTTATTAATTGTCATAATTATGGCTTCTTCTTCTCCTCTCCCTCCCTCTTTCTTCTCCCTCTCTCGTTTCTCTCTTTGTGGCCGGTGGTGGTTCTTTGGCCGGTCGGAAAGACGGCAACCACACCAATTGGCCAAAGAACCTCTTTGTATTGCCATGTAATTTCAATATCAAGCAAGCAAGGATTCACACTTAATTAACTGAAAAGTGGGGACTCTCTCCCCATCTTTAATTAACTGAACTAGTCCTCATAACAGATACATTTCAGCCAAAAACAAAAACACACACACACACACACAGAAAGAAGATCTTTATGATCATTACATGACCATTATTTTATACCATTTCCTAACAAGTGAAGGCGATGCAACGTGCAAATTCAGCAAGAACCAGTTACATACCCGAAAGAAAAGAAAAGAAATCACCTGAGCTTCTCCCTTCCAGAGCCCCTTCTTGCTGCCTCCTGAACCTTCTCGATGTACCCTTCGATTGGAGGGGTCAAAGTGGCCATAAACCTGTTCATGGGAAATGGAGTCAAGTCTGGAACCAAGGCAGCAGCTTTCAGATTCTCAGGCAATGCCTCAATGGCCTCTTTCTTCAGCCTCAACAGTGTCGACTCGGCAGCCCGCCTTTCCCTGTGCTTCCTCATCAATACCCTGCTGTACTCCTTTGCCAGCATCCGCCCATCCTCAACCGTTAGCTCATACTTTGGGATCTTCTCTACGTCAACTAAACCCAAAGAGATCAAGTCCAACCCCGGAGTCCCAATCATCCATGGAGACTGGAACTCCTTCCCCATCTTCTTCAGCTTCTTCTTCTCCTCTTCTCGGGCTTTGGATATCAGGCCCATCTTCTCCCTCTCGGACTCTCGGGCCATCTCTTTGGGCTTCAAGAAACGAAGCGGTGAGGTGGAGCCCAAGCATTCCTCGAGCATCTCATCGAACTCGCTTTTTCTTCTAGGAGCTTCTTTTGTTGTGGTTTCGGAGCCCTTTTTGGTAGATACTTTGGTTCTCTTCAAGGGCTGCCCTGCCTTCAATTTTCCCTTGCCCTTTGCTGTTCTGCTCACTGAGCATCGCTGCAAAAGTTGGTGGCTCAGAGCTTTGAGAGAGGTCGGGGTTGAGGTGTTCAGATGGTTGATTTGGGCAATTCTTCGGATCATCTTGTTAGGGTCGGCCACCCAAAACCTTACCCAAGATTTTAAAAACATTAACTACACATTTTATCTTTTATCATTCTCGGGTAAATAAAAGAACCAGTAAATAAGAAACATTGCAAGCACCATATGTTTCATTTATCTAAATGTCTAACCTACTCCGTAAAATGCAGTCACTTTGCAAAATTTCCGTCAAAAAAAAATTTGGTAGGCTAAGAAGCACCCATGTAAATTTCTAAAGACTTCCATGTTTTTTTGTGTTGCAAATACTTCTAGTCTTAACAATTCCAATAAAAGTACTGCATCCCGTCTAATTTCTCAGTAATAAAAGGGGGACATGATCCTTAATACTTTGTGTGTCACTTTATCATCCCTTCTTGAGACTACAGTATATTCCTCCATAGTATATGTTTTGAGAATGCATAGGATAAGATTCCCTGGATAAAAGGACCTTTCATGAAAGCAGTAAAAAAAAAATATAGATAGCTTGTGATTCCGGATATAAGAAATCAAACCTTTTGAAATTTATTCCCAGCAAAAATAAGAAAGGTGCAGAATCTCACTATGTCACTACACAAATGATAAGGGATATGTGTTTTATGAATTAAAAGCATTTAAATGCCAAAGTGCAAGGAATGTGTTTATTCAATATAAAAATGCACCTATAACAGGCAATTGGAGTAAGGTGAAATTAGAAAAATCTAATAGCTATATCTCGCAGATGAAGTGAAATCTATATATCTTCTACAGAGTAATAATATATGTAATAATGTAGTTTTCCTTGACAATTTTCTTGCCAGCATTGACCCAAAAATGGTGACAAAGATAAAGGTGTTCTCCAGAAAATAAATATCCATTCTCATTGCTGGAGCATCTATCAAATTTTTATAATTTGTTTTAGTATTTGTGTTATTCCGAATAACCAAAATCAATGCTTCTTAAAATCCATCGTCACCCAAACAATGGAAGGGTGACAACAGCTCGTGCACACCCTCTAGAAATTCAACAAAAATGCTCACCATTTAATGCTAGTAATCCACAATGTCTGAATAAAATTTTCATTAAGATAACATATGACAAAGCTAGAACTTTTAATGAATTAGACTGCATAAAAAAACTAAAAATAGAGCTATATAAGTCTATTGTCTATAAATCAACAAAAAATACAATTTTCAAAAATACGGAGGAATAAGTCTATTGTAGATAAAAATGTATAAAATCTAAAAACAAAAAAAAAATCAAATACTTATCTAAAAGATTGAGCTATATAGGAAAATAAATCTAAATATTCAATAATGATTTAAAAAAGCATTTGGGTTTCATATCAGGATGATTGAAGTAAAAAATATTTTTTGCTTCTTAGTATTTTATAAGTTTGGGAGTCAAAGCAAGAATGGAAGACAGAAGATGAGAGTTGAAAATGAATTACCTACCAGATTTAGAAAATCGTTGAATTTTTGAATATAAGGGATTTGTGGAATGTGATGGGAGTAATTACAGATTCAATTAGAGTTGGGCAAGAGGCGGATACAAGAAATTTAATCCACGGGGTCTCGTCTCTACAAAAAAGTGGGATCATATCTATCCCAAAATCAAATAAATAGAAAAGATTTCAAATTTAAAACTAATAACTAACCCTAGATTTTAAATCTAAATAATGAAACAATGAAAGAAAATTAAGATTTAAGAAATAAATTAATAAAAATTACAAAATTGGAAAGGGAAGGCAATGAATTTTACCTGGAGGGTGCAGATCGGCGACTCGGCGTCCGGCGGTGGAGGCGGCCTGCGGCGACTCAATCGGCACTTTCCTTCCGTCAGTGAATTCGATCGGCACTCAATTGACTCTGGTTTCTTCCTCAGTTCGATCGGCACTCCCTTCCTGTTCTTTTTTTTGGTCTACGTTAAGGCATTGTGATTTGGTGGACTATTGGACTGGGCTGGACTTATATACATATATATATGGATTATGCTATGTGTAACCCAAGGGTTGTACCTCAATTTGTACCCCGCAGTTTTGTACCAACACTTTGTGTTGGTGTAAAACTAATTTTTGTTAAATGCACCAACATTTGTGTCCGTGTGAATTTTTACTAACGCACCAACACTTGTGTCGGTGTAAACCATCGAAATGTTTGTGCAAACTTGTAGTGTACAAATGAGGTATATTTTTTGATGTAAGTGTAGCATGGTCCTATATATATATATTACTAAAAAATTTTTTTTTTGTGCCCCAAAATTTTTGGGCCCGGCCCGAACGGCCACCTTGTCCCCTCTATGGGCCAGCCCTGATGACTCTCTATCCCAAAATCATCTACTTATGTCAAAATGATACGAAGTTTGAAAAAAATAAAATTATGTGATTGAAGCTTATGGGGATGAATGAGAGAATAATATGAACCACATAATTCTTTCTTTAGAGGAATGAGAAAATCATTTTGAGACATTCAAAAGGAAGGTGATAAGTTCAATTTGAGAAGACTTGAGTATATTGTAAGAATATTGTAATCTATTTTTCGTATATCTTGAAAGTGCGTTATAATAATATCATGAATACTTGTACAAAAATATACGGAGTATCTCTTCACATATGTTATTAATCAATCATTTTATCTCAGAACAGCAACCAAAGATTAAAAATCAATAGTTTCTTCACATTCTTTCACTCAATAGAGTTTCATATTCTAGTTGATTTGATGAGTTTCATATTATAGTTCTCTAATGGAGTAGTTGATTTGATGAGGTAGGATCATTCGAATTCAAATTGGAACTAAATCCCACTAGATTAAATGTTTTTAAATCTCGACTTCTTTAAAAAATAACTTTCAACCTAAATTAAAAAAATCAACCAATTTTTAAAATTAACCGTTTAATGTTTAGTTAACAATGGATTTGATGAAGTGCATTCGTGTATTTTGTGAATATATAGAATGTATACACAGAAGGCTTTCGTAAAAAAACTAATCTGCAGAAAATCCACGAACAACAAATTTCTCGAATCGTAATTGCGTAAAATAATTAAAAAAAAATACGGAGTTTTTACCCTGAGAAAACAAATTCCAAACAAAAAACCATAGGGATAGGGGGACGGAGGATTTACCTTTTAAAACAGCGGCAAGCAGGTGGAGCAGCGTTCTGGCTCCGGCTTCAGTGGTCGGCGGCGTCCGGTGGTAGCGGGAGTGCACCCGGCGTGCAGTCTACAGGCACCACTTGCAGTACAAAACTTAGGGTTTTAAGATATGTTTGGGGATTTCCATTTTAATGCTAAAAAATTAATATAAACTTTTCTGATTTTGATTTTCTTTTTAAATACTGACACGTTTTGATCATAAACTATAAGTACAATATATTTAATTATTCCATATAATATCAATTCAATATGATTGAGCTCATTTCAGGATATAATTTTTATATATTAAATTTTTTGTAATGTAATGGGATGACTCGGGGTACTCCGAAAATAAATGACCAATATATGTAAAAAAGAATATTTGAAGGGAGTGTAAGGGGGTGTAATTCGAGGGAGTGGGGGGTGTGATCGGATCGAGGCGAGGTGAGGGGTCTGACGGGAGTTAGGGGGTAGGAACCGTCAATTTTACGAACGGAACACTGGAGCACCCCAGATCATCCCATGACATTGGGTTCCAACATTATGGGAACCCCACCCTTTTAGAATTTAGACTTTTTGAAAAGTTCACAACCTATTAGGCTATTACCAAATACGTAGTAATAATGAAAGAATAAATTGTGAATCACTTTAAAAGAAAAAAAGAAATTGGCTTATTTATACCATCAATATACTCTCTCTACTCTCTTCGTTCGTGAAAACTCTTCTTGTTTTGATTTTTTTATCAAACAGTTGTTGGGCATGTGTGTAGCAATTGTCCCGTGGCGGAGGCTAGGCGGGCCAAGTCACAATCGAATGTCGTGGGCGCTTGTGTGATGAATGCACTATAAGGCTAGGGTATGCGCTTCTTCTAACACCAATTGGTTTTAGAAGAGTTGGTAGTGTCTGAGGTCCTACAACAATGACACTCTTTGACTACAAATTGTGAGAAAAATATATTATATTATAATATAAATTTAATAAAATTAGATTCATCTTAGGATATCGTTTTAATACATCAAAATTTTTTTGACATTTATTTATTTAGATTATATTTAATTTATGATTAAAGAGTGTCACTATTTGACTATAAAAGTCAAAACAAGAAAAGTTTTCATGGACGAAGGGGTTATTATTTTCTGTGTCAATGAATTGTGATTAACTAAAAAAGGCAGACCGGCGAAAAAAGTGTCCCTCGCGACCAGGTTCGAAAGAACGGTCTCTTCACCGGGGTGTAATATTGTAATCCAGACAAAGATTCCAAGACTCGAACCCGTGATCACACAATCACAACTCAACCGTTGCGCCAGGGCTCACCTCCACATATGGTTAATTAAAAATATTTGAAAAAAAAAATCCCATTTTCAATATATCATAATTGGCATATCAAGTAGCATATAGAATGGTGGTGATATGGAGATCCCAATTCCTAGAGAGACCATACATCCATTGTACAATTCAACAACAAATAAAGAGAACACCCATTGCAATTCAACAATGAATAAATGTTTGGATATACTTAAGGTGTGGGTTTTGGCTCACAAAGTCTTGCTTTAGTCTTACTTCGTATTACAACCGTGCAAGGCAGGGCAGCAGGGTGGTGTTGTCCCACTTTAATTACCTCATTAAACAGTGTTTGAAAAGTGACCATATTCTCTGATGTTAAAGTCTCACCTTCCCCTCCCAAACCCCTCTTTACTTGCACCAAACTCTACTCAATAATCCCCTTTTCTCTCTTCTCTCTTTTTGGTTTTTTTACAGTTGTACATCCTAACCACCACACTCAACACACCAAGAAAACTTTAACTTTTGTTCTTAAAGTTGCACAAAAAAAAAAAAACAACCAAAGACTCATTCTTTTCTTCTTCTGTTAGATTCTCTAATCATGAGATTTCGTTTGTCTTAGTCAAGTTGACCGAGAGATTGAGGGGTTAGTCTTTGACGCGAGGACCGGAGCTTGTTAGAACTTTATAAGAACATAAAACCCCTGTCGTGTTTCGTACTCTCTGGGTTTTGGCTGAGTTGGTTTCTTGATATCATTAGGAGGGGAAAAAAACAAGAAAAAAAAGGTTAAAACTTTGGTGGAATGGTTTCTTCATCTTCAAGCTTGATGAGGGAGTTGAGGGCAGATAGAGACAATGATGGGTTTCACCAAGAGGGCACTCATCAAGGTTCTTCCCCAGTTGAAGTCTACACAAGAAATAACAGTAATAATAATGCAGAGATAATAGAAGTAGAGGGAGAAGAAGAAGAAGAGAGGAACCAGAAGAAGAGGAGAGAAAGGGAAGAGGGGTCAGATCAATTAGGGTCTATAATGGCTGTACTGGTCACTGTCTTTAGGAAGTCTTTGGTGTCTTGTAGCAGCAGCATTGATCAACAGTTTTCTTCTTCTTCTTCTTCGCCACAGCCGGGTCTGGAGATCAGCTGGCCAAGCAATGTCCGGCATGTCTCCCACGTCACCTTTGATAGATTCAATGGCTTTCTTGGCCTCCCTGTTGAGTTTGAACCTGATGTCCCAAGAAAACCCCCCAGTGCCAGGTTTTTTTTTTTAAATGTCTTTTCACTCTAGTATAACATAAAAAGGTTTTGTTTACACCAAGGTAGAACCTTTTACATTTACTTGTTGATTTAGCTCAATGTAACATATTTAACCATAACATGTGGGATATGAAAATGAAATTACTTCGAAAACGTCTCATATTTACAGAAAAGGGGTGAATGAAATAATAAAACACTTCTTTGAATCAGCTTGTTCTTTGCTGGTGAAAACGACGCTTATAAAAGGGTGTTGAGGGAGTGAATTTGCTTTAATTTACCAATGGACTGTTTTGCCCAGCATATGATCAATGTTGGTAAGAAAAACCAGGACAAGTACTTATCAAGAATCTTAGACATCATACTATTTTTCATTTGCAAGGCAGAGGATTCAAAAGCTTCTGTTTTTCCAAATTACCCAGAACACATGCCATTTAAGTGTTTAAATAAACTTATGGTAAACAAGAACAAATCACAACCCACACAAAAGACCATCTATATATGCATTCTTTAAAAATTCTCATTTTTTAAGAATTTGACTATATATTATCATATTCTTATATATGTTAGTGCAAGAGTGTTTGGTGTTTCGACGGAGTGCATGCAACTTTCTTTTGACAGCAGAGGGAATTGCGTGCCTACAATACTGCTGATGATGCAAGGACGCTTATATGCGCAGGGCGGCTTGCAGGTCCAAACTCAAACAATTGCTTCGTTACGGTTTTACAAATCGGCTGCTTTGAATTGTTATAATCTACCCTTTGTTTTTCGACTTGTAGGCCGAAGGCATTTTTAGAATCAATGCCGAAAATGGGGAAGAAGAGTTTGTTAGGGAGCAGTTGAACAATGGTATTGTACCACCCGATATCGACGTTCATTGCTTAGCAGGTCTCATTAAGGTATGTTGTTAGAATATAAAAATCTTTCCTAGGCCACAACCACAAACTTGAGTTCTTGGTTGAATTGATTTCTTGACATGGCATTAAAGCCTTGTTGACCAAGAGGTTACAAGTGCAAAACACATCGCCACAGAGTAAAAAAATTTAATGTTCACGTGCAGAGCTCGGGCAAAAAGAATAAATCTCGCCTGCACGTGAGAGGGCGTGTTAGAATGTAAAAACCTTTCTTAGGCCACTACCACAAGCTCGAGCTTCTGGTTGAATTGGTTCCTTGACATATGTAGCTCCTGCACTATTCAATCTCAAAAGACTGAAACTTATAGCCGCAGGCTCACGATATGTTTTATACTCTTATATAAGGAGTTAGTTTCACTTATGGTACCAAATGATCTGATGGTCACCTGGAAACTGGCTTCAGGTACCATACCTGAGAGGTTTTTTAAAGTTCACGTATTTTTGTGATAGAAAATGAAGTACAGGTACCAAGATGAAAAATAGCATACTATACGTGAAATTAATTTACTCTGAATATAAGCTGGGTGCAAAATTGATCTGTACAGGCTTGGTTTAGAGAACTCCCAAGGGGAGTGCTGGACTCCCTCTCGCCGGAGGAGGTCATGTGCTCACAATCAGAGGAAGAATGTGTTCGTCTCATGAGGCTCCTCCCGCCCACGGAAGCTTCTCTCTTGGACTGGGCCATAAACCTCATGGCCGATGTCGCGGAATCCAAAGAACATAACAAAATGAATGCACGCAATGTGGCCATGGTTTTCGCTCCAAACATGACCCAGATGGCAGACCCATTGACCGCGCTCATGTACGCGGTTCAAGTCATGAATTTTCTCAAGGTTCTCGTTGAGAGGACCCTGAGAACCCGCGAAGAGACTTTGGTAGAGCCCAACAATGCGCCAGAACCCCACCCGTTTGATGAGAACGGGCATCCGGGCAACGCCCAGAATCCATCAACTCAAATGGGAGATGACAATGGTCAAGACGAAGAGCAAAGTCCAGGTGAAGAATTAGAGCAGCCTGATGAAGCTACCATCATAACAAGCAGTGTGAGGATTCGACAGCCAACAACCCGAAAAACGAAAAACGGGCAACCCAATTGCAGTTCAAATCATGGCAAGAAGGCTAGCAAAAGACTTTGTGAGAGACAATCTATGAGAAGTGGAGAGAAGAACAAGGGGGGTAGAATCATTGGACGCCCAAATTATCACACAGAAAGGGCAGAAATTTGGCTGTGAAATGATCTCATCATATATTGTGGGTTGGATTCTTCAAAGGGCTTGTATTTGCTGTACAAAAAAGAGGGAAAAAATATGGTGAATAACTCAGAAATTATACTAATTTTCTTCAATGTTCCATAAAGAAAAAAATTTACATGAACAAGAAAATTAAGGTGGAGTTCCATGACTTTGTCCTGGAACACACGTTAATTTTTGGCGTGCTTAGTGCAGGTGTAAATTTTCTATTTTGTGATTATTCATATCTAGAGTTTTTACAGTAATATCTTGTTAATGATTTTTGTGTCATCAGTTATTTTATGTGATTAGATTTTCTTAAATTGTACGAGAATTTTATTATTGTTAATAATAAGTTTGGAGGTGCGGAGTGAACGATCGATACTAAAAATTCCATAGTGGAGGTCCGGGGGTGGCAGCCTGGGTACTGAGGTCCAAGGGGTGGGAGTTGAAATGCTGAGAGAAGTTTATTTGGCACATAATTGATTTATAAAAATAATTTAGATTCTTGTAAACGGTGTTCGAAGTAACATATATTTGAATGTATAAAATCTCATTCCAATGTAACACTTATCTCCAGCATCCCTTCGAAAGTGTGGGATATACATTTGAATGTTGCACGAAATGTTGTATTGTTTCATCAACTAACATGTCCATTCTAATTTTTGTGTATAAATAGATGGCCCTAGGGTATGTTTTGATAGGACAAAACTTTCATAGTATACCCCTCCATATGTGACTAACAGCAACTCTCCCTTCTCTAAACAAATGTTACCCCATCCGTACAACAATAAACTTGTCATTTTGAAGAACGTATAAAATCTCATCCCTTTCAAAAGTACTTGATTTATAAATCGGTATGCCATAAAAAAATAAAAATTATATTGTTCAAAACTACATCAAAAATTTAAAAAACAAGATGCGACAAGAATATTTTTTTCTAATCAATGATTGATGAAATTATGCAAACAAACATAAGTTATCGAGAGACTATAATAATATCTGAGAAGTTTATTGTTGAATGAAGGGAGTATATAATAATACACTTTTTACTTTTCAACAATTTTTTCAAATTCTGTGAGCTCAAAGTTTCAAGGACATCTTTAACTTTAGAAATCTCTTTGATAGGACTAAAAAAGTATGAAGCTATAAAATTAGTAAAATTTGCACTAAATAAGACTAAAACATAATGAATTTCCCAATGTAGGACTTAAATTTTTTTATTCCCTAAATAGGACTTAATAATGACCTAGTGGAAGAATAATGTCCAGTAATGATGGCCATTTATTTGAATAATGACTACTTGATAATGACCAAAAGTCTTACATTGGGAAATAAAAACATATGGTCCTATATTGGGAAAGTCATTATGTTTTAGTCCTATTTAGGTAAATTACTCATAAAATTATGAGTCCCAAGTCTTTTAAAACTAAAATAGGAGTATAATGACAGTGTGGTGTAAGAATACGTGTTGACAGTGTTACGAAAAAGTGATGACAGTGTTATATATCGGTGTGATCTGTCAATCGTCATCGATCGGCGATGGCACTCTGGTGGCCGGAGGCGACGGATGACAGTGTGAGAAGGTATATGGTACAACCGAATGTACGGTACATCCGGGTAGTACTCATTCTGAAGTAGAGTAGTACTCGTTCTCGCACAAATATAATTAGCGTGGTACTCATTCTAAAATAATGCAGTATTCATTTTCACACATTAGTTCAATATAATTATAATATTCATTTACAAATAATATAGTGTTCATTCTGAAACAAAACAAAACTCACTCTCAAATAACTCAGTGTTCATTCTCATGTAATTTTCATGTAAGTGTGAACTCAGGTTTTGGTCATAAAAGACTTGTTTTGATCATAAAAGAAGCAAACATTTTTTCCAATAAAGAAAAATGCTAAGAGTGCACCAAAGGTGTACCCCATATGTCTACCACCCCCTCTTTGTTCATATATATTGAAAAGAAATTCAAAAATAAACACGGAGTAAATAAATAAAAATCAAATAAAAATGTATTATAGAAAAGGAAGTGGTGTACATTTGGAGTACAGCTTTTACGGATAAGATAAGATGATTCCAAACAAGCACTCTCAGTATACTTTCAAAGAAGACACTCATGCAGAACCTCAAACGAGTCAACTCAGCCCGAAACTCTGCAAGTTAGAGTGAGAAACTGTAGAGCAGGAAGGTTCCCATGGAAACTTTCTCCTCGACCGTTGCTTCCCGCTATTTCTCCCTCCCCAAAATTTCAATCTCAAATCCCAACACCTTATTTCCTTCTTCTCCTTCCCTTTCTTCTGCTTGGACCCATTCCACCCGCACTGTCTCTTCCTTTTATGGAAACTCATTCTCCGTAATTCCAACTAAAATCCTTTCAATTCTTTGAATAATACGTATATTGCAATTATTTTTAATTTTTTAGTTGAAGGGTAGTTTAATCTGTTTTATTTCCTTATATCTTGTGGCAGAAAGAGGTGTGGAAGGTGATAAATGTTAAAAAATGGCCGAATTCCCGAAGAGAAACGAGGAGTTTGATCAGAGCTGAAATGTTCGGGCAGCTCACCACCGGGCTTGAAGCCGCCTGGAACAAGCTTAGAGGGGAAGGTATAACTGTGTTTTTTGTTGAGGATAATGCGAAATTATTTCTAAATTTTCCTTAATGATATTGGCATGTTGCTGTTCAAAGGCTTGTGCGGATGATAATCATGTTTAAAATTGTAATTTAGGAAGGTCTTTCTTGTTAATGGTTGAGCTCAATGGAACCCTAAAAGACCTTCTAGGCTCCTCCTCGATACCAAATACTCCGTATGTATTACAGATTGGGGCTCTGCCGAACCCCGGCCCTAAAATGTTCATTCCACGAAGAATAATACTCCCCCCCCCCCCCTAAATAGAGGGGAATGTATCTTTGTATGTCAGTTCAAAGCTCATATACTGTATTTTTGTTGAGGATACTTTGAATTTATTTCTAAATATTCCATATTGATATTGCTGTTCAAAGACTTGTGTGCATGATAATCAATTAATCATGTTCAAATTGTAACTTAAGGTCTTTCTTGTTTATGGTTGAGCTCAGCTCAATGGAACCCTAAAATGAGTGGATATGGTCAATAATGAGTATGTGTGACCTGATGAAACCCTAAAAGACTGTTTGGGCTCCTCCTCGATACCAAAACATTCCCCATAAATTACTGACGGATGATGTATTTTATCATCTATCAAAATCCCAGTTCATCAGAATGGTTACCTTGCAACCATGTTTTGCATCTGCTAGTAATTCAGAAAACAAACTAAGTTTATTCTGTTTCAGAGGTGTTGTCCAAGGAAAACATTATTGAACCTATGAGAGACATTAGGAGGGCTCTACTTGAGGCAGATGTATGCAAGTTTTCTCTCGTGTTCATTCGATTGATGTTGACCATATACTTCAAACTTGTAAATTGTTAATATACACCATGAATGGCAGGTGAGTCTTCCGGTTGTGAGAAGGTTTGTTCAATCTGTTAGTGATCAAGCTGTTGGCACCGGCTTGATTAGAGGAGTGAGACCAGATCAGCAAATGGTCAAGGTATTGTATTTATTGTCACTGTTTCATTAGACAAGAATCCTTCTTTTCTTCTTATCCTTTCCAGTCTAACAACAAATAGTTACCTCCAACACTTATTGGTCTGTTCTATTGTTGTTTTGCCAACCAATTTCCTATCCTACATCCATTTCAAGCATTGTTTTCTAAATGTCAACCAAATAAGAAGAATTGTCCATAGCCTTATGTGTTTTGGTTTATGTTATGCTTTTATTAATGCGAAAAGGCTTGACATTTGCCATGTTTAGTTGTTCTCTTTCTGAAGCTAAACCATGTTTCATGATGAATTTGTTTGATGAAGATTGTGCATGATGAGCTTGTGAAACTGATGGGGGGAGAGGTTTCCGAGCTAGTTTTTGCAAAATCTGGCCCCACTGTCATTCTATTAGCCGGTCTACAAGGTGTTGGAAAGACCACTGTCACTGCAAAACTGGGTTTATATCTTAAGAAGCTGGTACATATCATAAATACTGCCCTTTTCCTCTTTCACTTTCAAATGTTACCTAATCCATTGCTTGATTTGAAAAATGGTTTTTACATCTTCTGGAAACTTGCGCGAGGTTTAAAACGTTCATAACTCAAGAAGTCTGGATTGCAGGGGAAGAATTGCATGCTAATTGCCGGAGATGTGTATAGGCCTGCTGCAATTGACCAACTTGTTATTCTTGGTGAACAGGTTTGCATTTATTTAACATCATGTTATGTCATTTATGCGCTTAGCCATTTGTGAATCAATATTACTCCGTATAAGATATGCCATTTTCTTAAAACAAAAAACATTATTCTTGTTTAAACTTAAAAGGTACCGGTTTTCTGTTTTGATCTTTCTCATGATGTCTCCTAACAATGGGACAGGTTGGTGTTCCTGTTTATACAGCTGGCTGGGACACTAAACCTGCAGAGATAGCTAAACAAGGTTTAGTGGAAGCAAAAAGGAAGAACATAGATGTGGTCATAATGGATACAGCTGGAAGACTTCAGGTTATATCAAATTCCTGTCATTTTTATTCTTATGTGTGTTTTTCATACTCCTTAGTCCTTTAACAGATTGATAAGGCGATGATGGATGAGCTGAAAGAAGTGAAACAAGTACTTAACCCCACAGAGGTTTTGCTCGTTGTGGATGCAATGACTGGCCAAGAAGCAGCTGGTACTTTACTACCATCATAAATAGCTAATACTAAATTACAGAGTAAATATATTAATTCATAAAATCCTGATGAATATGAATGCCTGAATTTCCCCCTGATATTATGACTATGTTGGATTGATTGAATGATTGTAGCACTTGTCACGACTTTCAATCTTGAAATTGGAATAACCGGGGCCATTTTATCAAAACTTGATGGGGATTCAAGAGGGGGATCAGCATTGAGTGTAAAAGAGGTATGGAGACTGTATCTATTCATTCCGTCTCAAATGGGACAGATTGAGACACGAGTTTTACATAGTGTTCTAACAAGTAGGCACAACATCATCAGGTTTCAGGAAAGCCAATCAAACTTGTGGGAAGGGGGGAGCGGATGGAGGACCTTGAACCTTTCTACCCTGATCGCATGGCTGGTCGTATCTTAGGGATGGGCGACGTTTTGTCTTTAGTTGAAAAGGCCCAAGAAGTTGTAGGTGTCTTCCTGTACTGCTTTGACCCACCCCCCCCCCCCATTTTTTTATTCTTTATTTTTTTTGGAATGAGTAGTAGAATGTCTACGAATTGTGAGCAGATGCGCCAAGAAGTTGCGGAAGATTTGCAGAAGAAGATTATGAGTGCCAAATTTGATTTCAATGACTTCCTGAAGCAGACACGCATGGTTGCACGGATGGGTTCCATGTCTCGTGTTATTGGAATGGTTCCAGGCATGGCAAAGGTTAGTTTACTTGTGTGACATTTGTAGGCCATCAAAATCTTTAATTTGCTTATATGAGCACGGGCGCTGTCGAATACTGAACTGTCACACCTTACATGTGAACAGGTAACTCCTGCCCAAATCCGAGATGCAGAGAAGAGCTTGAAAGAAGTGGAATCAATGATTGAAGCAATGAGCCCAGGTTTCTTTCATGTTGTTGACTAACTTCAGACATTTATTTGACTCTAAATTTCGTGTCACCGACCCAACATAATACTTAGGATTAAGGCGGTGATGGCCTACTTTTTGTAGCGTCATAGAGCAAAGATCATACGTAGTAGTAAACTGGAACACATGAATTGAGATTGAAAATACCCAATTGGTGAGATTAATCATTTCAGCCAAAGATGTCAGTCAAAAGCTATAGGTCAGCTAGGCTTTGATACATTGTCAAGGAACCAACTCAAAAAAAAAGCTCAAGCTTGTGGTTATAGGCCCAAGAAAGGTTTTATACTCTAACAAATGGCGCATATAAATTGCCGCAGAGGAGAGGGAGCAGCCAGAGCTGTTGGCAGAAGATCCGGAAAGGAGAAAACGTGTTGCTCAAGAATCAGGAAAAAAAGAGGAGCAGGTAAATTACACGCCCGAATCAACCGATTCTTTGTAGTTTTCTTCAAATTTCTTTCCTTCTTGTAGGTGGCGCAACTCGTCGCTCAGCTTTTCCAAATGCGGGTGCGCATGAGGAATTTGATGGGTATGATGGAGGGAGGGTCCATTCCTGCACTAACCAGTCTTGAAGAATCTGCGAGACCGCAATCGAAGGTAATGCCTATTAGTTATGCTAGGACCATGCTACAGTAACACCAAGGTTGACACCGCACAATAATTTCTCACCTACAATCACTGTTATGGTGTCAAACTTACGGTTATTGCAGCATTGTCTATTACGCTATGGTCCTAACCGGGTTTCAGTTTATCGGGCATGGTAACGGTTTTGTAAGCATATTGTCATCTGCATTTGTAAACAGGTTCCTCCTGGAACTGCAAGAAGGAAGAGGAGATAGTGTATTTTTCTTAGCCTTTCAGTCACTCAATTTATGTATTTCTAGTTAATTTTAGATGTCATTTGAATTGTGAAAATGTCAAAGCTATAATCCTTAACATTTTAGCTAGGTACACAACAATATGTAGACTATTTGATGCATAATAATCACAAGAAATAACATGCTTATTTCATGCATAATTATGCAGTGTTTACTAGCCAGTTAGGAAGCACATATTCATAGTTTGACTGTTTCGATTGACAATGATTAAATTATTTTCAATACAATTTTTTGAAGATTGGGGTAGAATTAAAAAAAATAGAATTTACATATTTATAAAGTATTTGGATACATCAAAAGTTTTACGAAACAAGAAATGACATAACTATATTATTTTATCAAATGATTAATGAAAATAGAAAAAATATTAAATTTAACCATGTTGATAGTAAACAGACAATTTAATTTGGGATGTACAGGGTAAGTTCGAGTATATATTTCGGAAAGTACCCTTTTGAAAAAAAACGATGAGTTAGGAACAATTGAAAAAGTTAAAAAATTAAAATTTAGAAAAACCTGCAAGTGATTGAAAAAATTAGAAAGAGCGGATAAAATTCAAAAAAATTAATCTAGTACAGATAATATTGTTAAATTTAGTCTTTTTAGGATAATTTTATTCCACTTGTTTCCATTTTTTTCTCTTTATATTTATTGTATATGTCCAAATTTTATGGTCTCAAACCATATTTAGTCGGGAGTAGAAATAATATTTGTGTGACACACTCATTTTTACTTCATATACCAAAATAATTATAAATTGTATTATTTCTTACAAAAATATATGGGGATTAAAAATGTTAATTTTCTACTAGAAATTATTAATGTGATACGGAGTACGATTTATATTACGGGTGATTTGTTTTTTATTATGCATAAGAATGGTTTATAAACGTTAAAAGTAAAAAACAATAATTAACCACTACAAGAACTAAAAAATCATCCAATTAAAAATGAAAAGGTAAGATAAAAAAGAATTCTTTTTCAATGTTTGACTGTTTGTATAGCATACATTTGGCAATATGATATTATTTCATACATATTTATCTTATAGACATTGATAAGATACACAATAGTTTTTCATATATTTATTTTAATAATAATAAAAATAATAATAATAATAATAATAATAATAATAATAATAATAATAATTCCCTGAGAGTACCTATATCATACATTTAGAATAACGGTATATCTCATACAGCTGCAAAGATACTCATTTTTGGGTAACTGAATACTCATTTTCGAGTAACTAAATGCTCCTTTTCTAATATAATTAAATTTTAGAAAAATGAGTATTCAATTACCCGAAAATGGGTTTTCAATTATTCAAAAATGAGTATTCAGTTACAAGTAAATTAAATGAGTACTCATCGTGGGTGTAGGGGGAACACCGTATAACCGGTTGTACGGAATACATTGTGATTCCCTGATTCTTTTGATCCATGCTATTCCGTATTTTGACTTTCAAATGACTCAAGATACCTACGGTACTCTGTTGGTATATACGGAGTACTCCCTCCGTCCCGGAGTATTCGTCCAGTTTTGACTTTTGGAACTGTTCATCTAAGCACTTTGACTCATCAAATTCTTTCAATGTGTAAGCCTAAATATAGTCATGTGTGATCTTGTTTGATTTGTTTTAACATATAGATTATTAATATATAATTTCTATAATTTTTTTAATATACAAATTATAAGATAAAATGGATTAAAGAAGTGTATTGGATGGTGTGTAAAAATGAAAGTGGACAAATACTCTGAGACGGAGATAGTATATTGTTTCTGCCGCTATACTACCAATACAGCTCACACTTTTCCATTACACCATTAACATTTTTCATCACACTGTCATTCTACTCCAATTATGATTTTAAAAAACTTAAAACTCCTACATTTGATTGCGTTCGTTTTTTTTTTACTCTTGTCTAGGGAGCTAGATTTCTTTTTTATATTTTACAAAACAACAAAAATGGTTGAAGTAATAAACCGGTAAAAAAGAAAGCGTGTGACAAGGATCCAACGTGAATTGGCACAAACCATTTGGTCGGGCAGTTGAAACAGAATAGAGAAAAAATAGAAAGCACAGTTGAGACCCTTAAAAATGGCACTCCCCTCTACTCTACCTTCTTAATTATATATAAACAAGAAAAGAAAGACACCCTAAACAACATTATTTGATACCTTTTTTAAAAAATTATATTCATTCACTGATTCAGATCAGAAGAAGTGTTAATAATATAATGGACAATTCCGGGGGCACATTTCCGGCAGCTGATGCAGAAATAGAATTGAATCCGGAGAAGATGAATAAGGATTTCCAACTCGATCCTGTCTCTTCCAAACTAGCCTCCGACTTGGAGAACAAGGTTTTTTTTCTCTGTCACGCCAACTTTTACACCGGTCTTATATATATATATATCTTCTTCTCCTTGGCTTGTTTTCATTCGATTCAGACCGATCGTAGGATTGAAATAAAGCTAGACGGTTTCGCAACGATCGATCTGTTCGTCGTGAATCTTGAAATTTAAAATAAACGTGATGTGGAGGTGATCGTTGTGAAACTTTGTGGAGGTGATCTATGTGTTACCGACTTTCAATCCTAAGATCGGGTTCAAGTACAAATAAATAGCATTGCGAATTAATTAAGGATTGGTAATGTTAGAAGAGACATGGGTCAATCAGTGCCTCCCAGTTTTAAAAAAATTATGGTTTTACGTGCAAGACTCGAAAAGACTTCGCCTGCACGTGAAGGGGCGTGTCAGAATATATATAAAAAGAAATCTTGGGCCACAACCAACGGCAAGCTTGAGCTTCTGGTTGAGGTCGTTCCTTGACTGGTAATTATATATATTGATGATGAGTGGGGTGGGGTGGGTGTGTTTAAATGCAGGAGAGGGAAGAAGCGGGAAAGAGGGCAAGAGAAAAGGAAAGGAAGGATGATGCAATGCGGAGACTGAAGACCGCCGTCCTGATCTCCGCCGCTGCCGTCGCGGTTACCGGTGCCGTCTTTGCCATAACCAAGAAACTCAGGGAGAAATGAGCTGAGATGAGATGAGGAACCCCACACACCCATTCCATAAATATATATTATCCTGAATTTTATGATGAACTGAAACCCCATTGGTTTATTATCCTTTTGTAGTCAAACTTTTTAAATTTTGACCGTATATTACGGAAAAAATACATTGAATTTTCATATAAATTTATTAGCAATAGATTCATTTTGGAACATAGTTTTGAAATATATAATTTTTATAAAATATATTTAAATAAAAATTGAGATATTGATGGTCAAAGTGTCGCACTGGAGACCGTAAAAAGTCAAATGGGAAGTTAATTTTAGGACAGAGGGAGTATATGTGTTTCGGTAGTTAGCATGATTTCCCACTGGATTAATGACAAACAATGTGTGATGATAATTTCAAGCTTAATCAAGTGCCAAGCAATGTGTGGTGTTGGTTTCAAGATTAATCAAGTTCCAAGAACCTTGAAGATGAACAATAATCGTTCAAGACTTAAGACCCGAAAACGTAGGTCATTAATTAAGCAAAACTCTTGTAAGATCAATACTTAATTGTTTGGATGTGTTCTATGGAAAAAACTTAGGAATGTGAAAGCAAGAAGTTTAACTAGCTAAATTGCTAAAGAAAGCTCAGTTGCAATTCTTTTCAGAAATTACTTTTTTGTCTATCTATAGACTGGAATTTTTTTTTCTTTTTAATGAAAGCAATTTGTAATTCACTGTATTTATCTAAGATAAATTCAAACCACTCAATGTTTATTTTCTTAAATCTTGTGCCTGGTCAAAGTTGACAAAGAGACGAAGTTATGTGTTGGGATTCAAAGCCAAGTAAGGGTCTGTTTGGCAAGCAACTGCATCAGCAATTTCTGAAAAAGGGTGAGATACAATCAGCATTTGAGACAACATATTTTGTCTGTAAATCAGAATTTGCTAAAGCAAAATGCTCATCTTATAAGCCTCTTTTTTTCCTCTGAATAATGCTTAGCATCAACTTTGATTAGCAAAATGCTGGGGTAAATTTCACCAATGGTACCTGAACTTTAGCTGGAATTTCGAAGTGGTACCTGAACTTCAAATCCTTTCACAAAAATCCCTGAACTTACACAATCCTTTCACTAATGAGCCATTAGCCCGTTTCTAGGTTAACTTCCGGTCATTAGGGCCAAATTCGAATTTTATATATTTTAAAATTTTCAATTTGACCCCATTTCTTCTTTTCTTTTCTTCCAGGCCCCGCCGCCGCCGCCCGCCGGTCAAAATCGCCGGAAAATGAACTTTTTCCGATTCCGGCGAGACCAATGTCATTCTCTTCGTCTTGAGACGAGGATCAATAATATCCAAACCATTTTGTCTAATTTTGCCTGTAACTTCTCGAATCTGAATTTTTCTACTCGAAAAAACCCTAAAATCGAAATTGGAACCAAAATGGAGGGTTTTGCAAATCGTCATCAAATCTTGCAACTGAGGGGTCCTTGGAGGTCGCACGGATGCCACGACCGCATTGGAGTTGGTGCCCG